CTCTTGGGGTCCGGGGACGCCTCCCGCCGCAGGGCGTGGCCCGACATGGCTTCCTTGCGGATGATTTTTTCCTAAACGGCTCCCTAATGAATGTTTTCCCAGGAACAGGGCCAACTGTAGAGACTCCGATAACGGCTCCCCGTGAAGACTCCCTACTGTGACATCCCCACCCCCATAGAACGTTGTCCCCCAGGAGGAATTCCCCTGTAGAAAACCTCCATAGTGGTTTCTCTTGTGGAGAGCTCACTTGCCTGCCCCATAGATTATTGTTCCCAGAAACAGCTATATAGAGAGACTCCCCTCACACACAATAGCACCCCTGTATAGAACCTCCGATGGGTTTCCCTAGAAACGGCTTACCTATAATGCCCTCCCATTGTAGGTCTCCTCTAGAGCCTTTCCCCTTGACAGAGGCTTCCCTAAGGAGTACCCCGCTCCTGCACTCTACATGCGCACAAATGCTGACAGCATCTTCCCTATTGCGCATTTCCTCACGTCCCCCTTCCCCAGCCTGCATCGCGACGCTCCTGCACTCCACAATGGGGAGCTCAGGTTTGGGGGAGCTGGAGGTCATTAGGGGCGCAGGACGGAAAACTAACTGGATGGATAGGAAAAGAGGTCCAGAATCTCCGAAGGCCGCGGACACCAGACCCCTGAGCCTAGAGACGGAGTCCTCCTGTGCCTCGGGTGTGGGGAGGGTCTCCGCCCCTTTTCAGTAAAGGAAGATCCGTTTTTGATTTCTGCTCCTTATGCCTTTGGGCTGACCTTGATAGTCGGTATTATTTGTGATGGAGCTGGTATGGGGCCGCCTGCGGGGGTGGAGGTTGGAATGATGGAAGGGTTTCGGCAGAAACCGTTGAAAGAGAGGAAGCAAGAGAGAAAGAAATGGGCTTTGGTACTGCTAAACTGCCATTAAACCAGAAGAGGGGTTTTTTGGTTTGCTTTTTCTCTCTTCTAACGATTTAGCAAAGCAAATGTGGTATTGTTGCCTTGAAATGAGATTGTCAACTTAAATGTTAGAAGGGCTTTTCCTATATTTTTGTTATGGTGCGTAGTCATTGTATGGTTAATGTTTTGCTCGCCAATCTGTTTTTTGTTTTTGTTTTAACTAGACCAAATTTAATAGAGAGCAGGAACTAAATCTTAGAATCCTGTCCCTCTCTTATTTACTGCCATTCCTTACCCCACCCCAGAAATTAATGCACTTACGTTGGATGAATAAAAGATGGGGGTGGTGAGGATAGATACCCATGGTTGCCTTTGGGAGTCCTAATTTGCTTCTAATTTGGCGGGTGACATTGTTTGAACTCCTCTTCTGCCCTTTGTTGTAATTTCTTGGGTTTAGCTGCTTTATGGTAACCTCTCCAAGCCATCCATAACCTCTCCAAGCCATCCAAACGTCCTAACATTTCTGTTAGCCAGTTTCACTGTTAGAAAGTATTTGAACTTTGTGTAGAATAGAAATTGCACAGAATAATTTAGAATTTGGAGCAGCTATCTATTAAATCTAGGCTTTATGTAGAGGTGGAGTTCATCCCAGATCATCTTGAGCTTAGGAATCTTGAGTCTTTGAAACTCTGGGGGAAAAAAGTTTCCCAGTAAAATCCATCTCTAAAATAACTGCTACCTTCCCTGTTTCTAATAACATGGCAATGTGCAGCTTTTTTTTTTTTTCTTAAGTAATGTTTTTATGTTAAAAAAGATAAATGTTGGCTAACTTTGCTAATACTCAAACTGTGAAAGTGGCTTGAGTAAAACTTGTTAATCTTCAGATGGAGGTAGTGCAGGAAACCCCAAGTCCTGGCTGTTTTATACCTTTAGTAAGAAAAATTTAGTAAAAGTTCCTCTCCTTTCCCCACCTCTGCATAACTGAACATACTTTTCTTATTCATTCAAGCCTTTCCTCGACTTTTGACATTGAATATTTCTAGTAGGTTTGGGCTAAGCACTTTCCTGTCACCCATACTTGGCTTCTTTGCTGCACTCTGACTCCTCAGTGATGAAAGAGGCAGGCCTAACTGGTGAAGTTACATTCCTAAAGACCCATAGATAGTACTTGCCAGTATGTGGTTTAGCAGTGGTGTTCATTTTCACAGATGGGAAATAGAAATCATGAGTTAAAATCTTTTTACTTACAACTAGAACATTTTTTTAAGGATATGGTAGTCATTAGTGCTGTCCATCAAATATTTTTGGTTTCTGTCTTCTGGGCATGTTGTACAATTGTACTGGAAGTTAGGTATGGCCTTGTGAGTTGCTTTAGGTCAGTGAAATGTGCGGGAATGGTGTGTAATTTACCACTCTCTCTGTTATGGTGACTGTTGGTGCTTCAGATGGTGGCTTGTCTATCAGTCTAGGATCCAGAGCAAGCTTCCAGGTGACCTGTGTTTGGTGTAGAGAGTGAGCAAGAAGTAAACTTTTGTTGTTTCAAGCTACCAAGGTTTTGGAGTTACTATGAAAGAATTATCTTGACTTGTACTAGGGAACCAGTGGAAATTGCTGAAATATGCTTTCCTACTTCAAAGTCCTTTTTTTTGCAGAGGGATCTGATCCTGCCCAGGACTTGTTTAACAGTTTACATTTTACTGCCTGTTTATACAAATAATCCAACATACACTGTGCTAGGTGTTGTAAACTCAAACAAATAAAGCATGTCCCTGCCCTCAAAGAGCTTTGGAAGTGGAAAGAGACAAAAAAAGTAAAAATCATAATACAGAGTGGTGAGAAATAAGTACTGAAGAAGAAATAGGCCTGAAGGAACAATAATGTAAGAGGGCATAGTTGATTTGGGGCTTAGCTGTTGGAAGAATGGAACTGCCATTTTCTGATTTGGGAACACTGGAATAAGAGCAGGTTTGTGAAGAAAATAGAGTTCAATTTTGGCCTTGTTCATTTTGAGTTACCTAATACATATCCAGGTGGAGATATCGGATAGGCAGTTCAATATATTAGCCTGGAGTTCAGGGGAGGGATTGGGACTGGAGATACCATCCATACGCTGATGACTCCCAAGTTTTTATTTAAAGCTGTGAGACTAGATATAGAGAAGGGGACCAACATCCAAGCCCTAGGATGTCCCATGTAGAAAAAATAAGTGTAGCAATGTCTTCCAAATTCTAAGAGAAAATGGTTTCCTACCTCTGAGATAGGAGAAGAATCAAGGATAGTCATGGAAAGCCAAATGATAAATATTGTTGATGGACTGATGAGAACTAAGAATAGACTATTAGATTTGTTAATGTGGTGGTCATTGGTGACCTTGACAAGAAGAGTTTTGGTGCAATGGGTTCAAGAGAAAAGAGGAAGAGAGGAATTGAAGACAGGGTAGATAGTGATTTTGTTTCAAGGA